CAAAGAGTGTTAGCCCTAATTTCATTGTATAAATCCCAAGTTGTCAATACAAACCTTGACTTCCAACAATAATTGCTAACCTTCTCCAAATCCTATGAAAACCAATCTCATGTCTTTAAAGAAGCTCTAACCTAGTTCTCAAGTCCTAATCTTTGATCTTCAAATGAAACCCTATTTTGCCCTAGGCAGTCGTTTTAGTGGCCAAAGGTCTGATTTTGATCCTGTCTTACAAAAAATCGATCTCCGAGTATCAATCTAACCTATCCTAAGGACTTTTTAGCCCAATCCTACCCTCAACTTAACCTTAGTATCAACAATACTAATTATTTATCTCTTCTAACTTGATTTTATCAATTTATGGCCCTTCTAAGGTAGTAAAAGAGTCTCTACAACATAGAAGGTAAAATTACTGATTAACCTTCAATCTATTAACTATTAAGATAAGAAAATAACCTAAGAAGCTTTTATAGAGCCATGTTTAGATATCTTGAATTATTATTGAATCAAGATAATTAGATATTAATTAAAAAATCAATTTATATTATAGTTTTACAATATAGTCATATTATATTACAACAACTTATAAGAAAAAATATACTAGATAAGCAATAAGTTTATACATAAAGCATATTTTGATCAAATTGATATTATCACAGCCTTTGTAAGTATTAACATCCTATAAGTTATGCTAAAGAAGGCAAATCAATCTTATAACTTAGGAAAGATAATACTATATATATATATATATATATATATATATATAAATTTAATCATATTTTATCTTAAATTTTTATATTTATAAATATATAATATTAAAGAATACATGCAAAAGAACATACAAATTCAAATACAAAAGACAACACTCTATAACTATAAATATATTTAAGGTTCAAGCTACAAGTACACCCCAAGTTGTTATACATATATTCGTTATGTCTATATATACATCTAAGGCTTTTTTTTGGTTCATCCCAAATATATATTTTTTTATTTTTTTATTTTTTTTATCTTGATATAGATCTTAATCTTTATTCTTTTCTCTTTTGCTTTGGCATGTGTCTTGCTGCCTTTTTTTTTTTTTTTTTTCTAACATAGATTATAACCACCCTTCTTCTCTTCCTTGCTCCAATATAGATCTTAACCAACCTTCTTCTCTTCCTTGCTATGGCACAAGTCTTACAACCTCTCTTCTTTGTTCCAAGAAAGGTTCCAACCACCTTCATTCTCTTCTTTGCTTTGGTGTGAGTCTCATTGCCTCTTTTTTTTTTTTTTTTTTTCTTGGCGTAAGTCTTTGCCTCCAATGCTAGTCAATGTCTTTTACAACTCGAAGCCTACACCACTATTGACCCTGCACATGTTTTTGTTCCTTTAGCATGTTTCTTCTAAGTTCTATTCACCTTTCACCATAATCATATAATATTCATCTTTGAAATATTGCTTAGAATGACAACTATTGTACGAATTCCAATTCATTCATCAAAGCACTTATTTGCATGAATTAAGAGTACTTTACTAACACATCTTTTATCTGATCACTCCTCAATATTTTTCTATTGTTTTTTTTACAATCCAGCAATAGAACAGAATAGGTTGCCATTACTTTGGATAATTAATCAAGTGTTAAGCTTCATTTAGATCAGTGCCACAACTCTTTAAGTGTGTTATCAAGTTCTTGACTACTTAGTCAATATAACTATGTCAAACATGCATAAGAATATTTATTTGTAAAACATCATTCAAAAAAAATGTGACTAATTTGACATAACTTCAAATTATTATTTAAACTATTCAAATTATCAAAGCTCTAGTAATGAACAAGAAATTGTACTTGATTCATAAGCCTAAATGAAGGCATGAAAACAACTACTTATAAAAAGTGAAGATTCAATCACATAGATATATAGTTTACCTTCTAACAATCATGTATTTGCAATTTCATTGTAATTGTATTAAATCATACTACTACCTCATTTCTAATATTGATGAGTTTCAATTTGGATAGGTCCAACTAGAAAAGTTTAATATCTTTGCTGCCAATTTCAACATTGCTTGCATGGATTAAACATAATGGTTTTTTCTATAATTTACCATCTATATATCAAGCCAAGGAAGAAAAAGAGGGAGGTCAAGATTGGTACGAGAGAAAGAAAAAGAAAGAAGAGAGCCAAGATTTGTACCAAAAAAAAAAAAAAAAAATGATGAAGGAAGATTTGAGACCCACGTCAAGTCAAAGGAGAGAAGGAGGAGGATTAAGATCCATGCCAATACAAGAGAAAAGAAATTCAAATGAGCCAAATGGAAGCCTTGAATATATATATAGACATAATAGGTGTACATATAATAACTTGATGTGTACTTGTAACTTAAGCCTTTATTTAATAATATTCTTTATTATATTTTATTTTTAAATAGTATATTTTATATTTATATTTTATCTATTTTAATGGATATTATTGATACTTATAATTACATATATAAAAAAAATAAGATAGAAACAAATAAAAATATGTAATATCTTATAGCTGATTGTACTATCTTATAAATAAAAATATGTGATATCTTGTAGGCAAATTTAAATTTATATGTGTTTATAAGTGAATGATAGGTTGAAAATATGGCCATGAAATTGGACACGTTAGTGACTTGTAGTACAAATTGGCCATAAGGTGAACATATAGGAAACTTATCTTGCAAGTTAAACATGTGTTGAAAGTCCTATAGAACATTACTATGTAGCTCTTAGTTAGATAGTGTATATGGAGACAAGAATAAAATCTTCTTTATTCTTGTCAATGCCTTTCATGTTCTTAATCTTGTTTCAAGAGTCTCTAGTCTTCTTGTCTTTGGCAATAGTCATTTTAGTTTTAATATTATGCTATCTTTGAGTGAATATCTATTCTTTTCAAGTAACACAAGAGAATATTAATTTGTTGATTCTTCATAAATCATAATCTTGAAAACTACTAGTGTAGCTTTATTTCTTACTGATTTTAAATACTATTGCAATTGATTTATTAGATTACTCAATCTTTTAAATTATATACATTTATATTATATTTGAAAGTTTTTAAATATTTTAATTGCTAAGATTTAAGTACATTATTATTTATATTTTAATTTATTTTAATTACACATAATTACAACTAATATTTTGATACTAATATTACAAATATCAATACATTATTTTTTGCAAATAGAAATATACTAATAATTATGCTTCTTTGGTGCTATCTTATTTCTATGTAAAAAACTATTAATTTATTTTTTAAAAAATTGGTGTATTCAAGCATTAAAAAATATTATTTAAACCTAACCAAATATATCAATAGAAAGAGAAATGTTGTGCATTTTGCCACATGGATGAATTGAATATAATAGAGGTCTATAAACACATCAATGGTGGTATTAAAATCAATGATTCAAACTGATTTTTGTGAGTGTTGCAGATATTTTACAAATTGATTGATTTGAGTTTATAATTATAAGTGCACAAATAAATAAAATTTAAAATATATATATATATATATATATATATATTAGAGAATTAAACTATCAATGAATGAACATTTTGGTATCAATGGCTTTGTTTATTGGCTTTTTGTAAAATAAAAAATAAAAACAAATTATCGCATTTAAAATAGTAAATTTCTCAGTTTATTTCTCCAAGGAATTCACACAGATTTTATTTTTAAAAAATTCAATGAATAAAAAAAACGTAATCAAGATAATAACAATAACAATAACATGCTCTAACAATCTCAGCATTGAAATTTATAACATCTTTCTAATCATGCTCACACACTCAATGACATCAAATGATAAATTATAGTCTTTTTTATTTTTGTTGTTTTTTGAAATATGAACACCACAAGGATGACGTGGACTCAAGAAGGAGGACAATGTCCATGGAACTTCAATAAATAAATAAATTCATTTAAATAAATACATAAATAAAGATTCTCACTACCTTTCTGTCCTCAGTGGGAATAGCGCCCCTCACACGGCCAATGGCAACGGCACCGACGTGGTGGCGCGGACAATGCCACCACTCCGGATCAGACCTGTAGCCGCTAATCGAGCATACCGCGACAAGGGAGGGGAGGAGGGGGGGGGGGCTGGTCACCGTGGCAGTCCGCACTGGAGCCAGGCAGACAGACAGTGCGAATTCTCACGAGAAAAGAATCGGGGCTGCTCTCGATGCGGGTACCTAACCAATCCAGGCATCACCGATGCGAGAGCACCATCGTCGTCGTCGTCGAGCTGCGACCAGATGGACCACGGTGTTGGCCACCACCCATTTCGCCAACCATCTCGTCTCTCGTCTCTCGTCCTGGTCATGCGAGCGAGCCCACCACTCACCGTTGGGCGACGAGGATCCGGTTCATCGTCTGTCTTTTAAGTGCCTTATTGATGCTCTCGTCCGCTGTGTAAGCTCCTCCTTCCATCCCAATCCGGCATCCTACAATCCCCCCTACTCCTCTAGACTAGCCGATCAATCCTCTGCTAATCATGAGCCTATAAACAGGCGGCAAATTGGGATTCTGAAGAAACAGTAGCCTGTCTTAACTACTTAAGTCGCATGAAATCACCCTTTCCTTTGCTCATCACTGTTGTGTCTAGTCATTGGCCCAAGTGGTCTCGCTGGGGGTCAGCGCTCACTCTCGCTCTCTCCCTCTCTCGTTCATCACATCGTTTCTTTCTGATGCAAGCTTTAACTTGCAGCTGAAGCTTGAATCTAAGTCCATAGAGTGGTTGTGATTGTCTACGAAGGGAGTGAGATAGAGTGACTGGTTCACGCCTGGGTTGTTCGTATACGTGCTCCTGCAGCTGCTGCTGATGTGGTCGTCGTCGCTGAAGGGCTGCTAGTGGCTTGATTGCTGTTCAATTGTTTCGGTGACGGGCGTGAATGATTGTGATTTGCATTCGACCAGCGCCAACTTTGAGTGAAAATTAGTTGATTGATTGGTTCCAAGGATGAACTTCGACGCTGTGCTCAGGTCTCGATTACTTGTGAAGGAAATAAACAATTTTGACATGTATTGTGTTAGTAGCAACTTCACAACGCAGTAAATACTGTGTGGAGCTGCGGACTCCTGTCGATCGTAATCGGGTTCAAATCAAATCTATTTGTCGACAGACCCAGCTTGTAAGGTATTCCGACCCTGCTCTCGCATTGAAGTTTGTTCTAATCAACATCAATCTAGTTCCTGATACACTCTCTCTCCAAGTCCATTAGAAATCAACTCACCGAATAAGGTAGGATGGATTCACCCAATTACAGCCATATCTAACCTCGTCGAGGCAGTGAACTCCTTTGGCCTCTTGATGTTGCCATTGTGACAATCAATGGGTTTTCTGGCTGACGAGAGCGCCCTGACATGAGTTTAGGAAAGCGTAACTTGCTGTTTCTGAGGGATTATTCACCGCTGACGTCACGTGTCTCGCCTTTCCCTTACATGTTTTCCAAACACGACCATAACCATATTTACCTCGACGGGCTTTGTCGTACTGATTGTTGATGATGACTCTATCTCTCTTTTTCTTTTTTCTTACTCTATGATTTTTTGTATTAAAAAAAGGAATTTTTTTATCTTCACTGCTCATCATCATACTTCAGTAAATAATATGTCTGTGAGTGCTTAGTTCGTGCAAATGAGTGCCTAAGTGGCATTGTAGTCGAGTATATCAGATTTCAATAGTCTTCACAGTAGCTTCAAAGTTATTGCCGAGCTAACCACAATGACTGTCGTAGCCTTCTCGTCGAACCACGAGAAATCTTTGTCGACGTGTGGCAGCGTATGCAATTGATGATACTTAGAACTCAGCTGCATTGAGCTAATGCATGACGGCGAAGCTGAATCAGGCAGGTGTGCATTCAATGCGTAGGTTTTACAACCGTCAGCATGTTCAAGATGGAGTTCTCATACTTGTGGACAATCTTGGGATGCTTGGCCTTTTTGCGGGGTCTATTACCACTCGAAATCGCTGAGGCTATTAACAGGGGGCTTCGAAGGTTGAATTCTCATTGGATGCCCTACGTCGTATTTGAGATTCCAGAATTCGAAGGTGCCAGTATCAACGAGCTCTACAAAAACGTGCAGCTCCACTTGACTGCGAAGGGGCTTTGTCGAAGTGCTCGCAAAACCGTGCTCTGCAGGATGAAGAACTCCGCCAACACAATCTCTACCCTCGCAGGTAGAGACTTTCACCTCAAGAGATCTAAAAAATTCGCGCAAAAAATTCTATACAGAAACTTGACTATTTCGGAGTTGCAACATCTCGGCACAAATTCAATTTACTTACCGCATTGTTAGTGAAATGGCAGGAGGTGAAGCAGTGATGGAGACCTTCGAAGGTGCCAAAATCTGGTGGACGCACACAGTGCACGGAAACAAAGCAACCGATGGCAGCAGCCAAGACCAGCGATCGTATACAATGAAGGTGCACAAACACGACAGAGATAGAGTTATCTCGGCGTACCTTGACGTAATCCGTGAGAACGCTTACAACTTCCAACATAAAAACAGGTAAAGTCCTGGCATTCGCAACAGGCCATGCCCTTCAAACCCGCTCTGTTTGTTTGATGGGAGTACAATCGGATTATGGATTTTGATCCATGTGAAACCACACACCATTCTTCCTAGCTCATGTTAGCTTCTTCAAATGCAGAGAGATGCTTCTCTACTCGAACAACCGGTCGACATACTCCTCAGGCAGGCACCTCTGGCAAGCTGTGCATTTCAAGCATCCGTCCACCTTCGACACATTAGCCATGGACTCGTCACAGCTTCAATCCGTAAAAGCAGATCTCGATTCTTTCGTAGCCGGAAAGGAGTATTTCCAGCGAGTAGGCCGGCCGTGGAAGCGTGGCTACTTGTTATACGGACCTGCGGGATCGGGAAAATCTAGCATGATAGCCGCCATTGCCAACTACCTCAAGTGGGACGTCTTCGACTTGGAACTTACTCAGGTATCGAACATCCTCCGCACTTCTCTATCATTCCATACACCATTACTTTCTTGAAGTAACGGAAATCCTGAGGCAGCAATCGAATTTCGACGCAGGTCCGCAGCAACTCCGAGCTGAAGCAGCTACTCATTCAAACGACGAACAAGTCCGTTATCGTCATCGAAGACATCGACTGCTCCGTCTGCCTTGCTCACCCGCGCTTACGGCGCAAGAAACCGTCCTATTATGAAACATCGTCTCTGGAATCCTCAGAAGAGGGGACTCCAGAGGGGGTCGAGAAGAGAATAACGCTTTCTGGCCTTCTCAACTTCACCGACGGGCTGTGGTCGTGCTGCGGCAATGAACGCATATTGATCTTCACGACCAACCACATTGAGAAACTGGACGACGCACTGCTCCGCCCAGGCCGCATGGACCTCCACATCCACATGTCGTTCTGCACGTATGCCGCGTTCAAGACTCTGGTGCTCAATTACTTGATGGTAGACAGTCATCTCCTTTTTCCCAAGGTGGAAACGCTATTGCGAAGCGGCGCCAAGGTGACGCCCGCGCAAGTGAGCGAGATTATGATCCAACGTAGAGACAACCCCAGCGGCGCCCTGGAGGAGTTGGTCTCCTCCCTGGAACACCAGATCCTAAGCACCGGCAAAATCCACCCAGAATCACACAAATCCACATATTAAGCTAGAAGAATCTCGATTCCCGACGGCCCGTCACCATCGGCGCAATGCAATCACTAGTCAACCAGCAGCAGCAGATGCGTCTGTCGGAATGTGATTGCCGTTACAAGATTATGTCAACTGTATTGTTCAACAACAAATGTGTCCTTGGCTTATAGTTTCTGGAAGCGATCGCCGAGATCGTGGGTACATGGTTCGGTGAACACGGCCTTCATTTCGCACGCTCAATCTGGATCTAGCAACACGGTGCAGTGGATCCGACAACGCGCACGAGGGTCTCAGTCGACTAACTGGGTGCAACTTGACTCTCTCGTGCCCTTTGCACCCTCAGGCCCCCCTCCCCACCGCGAAACTTCATCCATCGTATGTCCACTTTTCCGTCCATGATGAAGATACTTCATCCAATATAGCACCTAATTATGCATTACAATCTTCACTGCTCCCCAAACTAATGAGTCAAGCAAAAAAGAAATAAATAAAATAAATTAATTAAAAACCTCTTTTCTTGCACCTCAATATTATAATTCTCTCTGCAGGTCTATATACTACTAGAATTTAAATCATCCAATTGTATTGCCCACTTTTATTAGCATTTTACATGTTGTAATCAAATATTTTGTCGATATCACATATAAGTAATGCTGAAGCTGGTGGTTACGATGGCAATTTTGTACATCCACTCTTATAAGAGAATGGTGCAATTTCCAACAACAGATTCATTGGGCGGTATAGAGTTAAAATTATGTAGAAGTGGTAGAAAATACCATATAACACTAATTATTCAAACTCACCACAGTACATATTTTAAATTATAAATTATAAATAAATCCTTGCATGTCAAAAAGCTTCCAGTTGTAAAATTGGAAACATCTATGATGTGCCAATACTTAAATTTATCAACGATACAATTGAGATAAATTTATCAACGTTATCAGTTGAGATAAATCATATTATTAATTTGAGATGTATAATAAAATAAAAACACACAAAATCATTCAGGAGCAATTAAGCAAGATTAGATTTGACAAATTATTAAAAAAGAGTTTTGATCCAAGGAGCTGTTCAGATTTCCTGTTCATCCAATATCAAGTACCAGGCCGTGGGTACCTATCCCGCCGCCACTGCCGGCTTTGGTCCCCCACCGCAACAATGAATGGCAATGGGAGGGAAGAGGCCACAACAGGGCCATCACAACTACATTTCCATTTCTGCAGTAAGTAGTAAGTTGTAAGTCGTAGAATGGTTTTGCAGAGGGACCCTCCCAGCTTTCAAATGTAGGTGAACAATTAAACCAGAGCCTTGTGGAGTTTACGAGTATGTTGTGGAGCATGATTTCGCGTTGCGCTGAAGTTTCATAGACATTCGAATGCCACTTGTGATCTTTTTTATTACTCAAAATAGGGTGAATAGGTTTACCACATGCTGTAGATTAAATGAAGAACAATTACAAGGATTTGTAGATCCCTACACCCAGTGTGCAGGACAAGTTTTTACCAATTCCATAACCTCGCGGAGTTGCTGTGCCCCTTGGTGTGTGTGTGCTTGAAAGCTATCAGGCGCGGCTTAAGTTGTGTCGTTCTGAAGCGCATCCTGCTCTCGACGTAGCTCCGACAAATACGTATCCCCCAAATCCCCCGGCTATGAGTATGTCGAACCTTTAACGCTACTTACAATTTCGCCTGAGAAAATTTTAGATGCCTGCTCTCGATCTCGTAATTACATATTTTTCAATTTAGGACGTGAATCCATCTGGAGAAGAATTTGGGATTGCCTCCGCGGCAAATGGCCCATGTTCTATTACTTTTGACATTTATGGTTTAAATAGTAAATCCGTACACTAAAACTATCTGTGTACAAGATAAAGGAATTTGTGCATTTGCACATCGAACATGCTTTCACAAGCAGAGAGCACATTTATTCTATTGTCGCCCACTTTTCTCGTCTTGTCGTGTTCCGGAGTTACTGCTGGTTGTGCAATGCAGGCACTTTTGTACAGTAAGATCCCTTGAACCGCGGATGCCTTTTTCATTGTTAAAGAGGGCGTGCTTCCTGGTCATTTGTCCTCATTCGAACATCCCAATCCTGTTGTTTTTCTTAACATTCTCAGCAATTTAGAGTACATTCATCAAAATGTCACGATTCCAGTAGGTCGGGAGAGGTCTCAAACAGGATTTCTCGACTGGTGTCGCAGGGAACGGGGTGCTTGAATTTGGCATGAAGTGTTTAGAGCAGCACCCACATAGTATTGGAAACCCTGCAGGGTGTTGTGTGGGAGTGACAAGCTTGTGAATGCGTGAGGTTGCCTGCACCCAGGGCCCTTACACCATTCACGCACGAAGACAAATTGTGCGCAGTAGCTGACGTCTCTTCCAACACGTCGTTCTGAACTGTTGTCAAAGCGAAACAAAGGTGTCCGTGCTGGTACTCTGACGTCGGAATGCACCATGTGACAAGTTGGGGGGCGCAGGAAATGTGCCCAATTTCTCGCAGAGCATTTCGTGAGGGCACTGGTGGGGGTCTCGGCACAATCGAGGCGCAGAGTTGCAGGGTGGGAGGGGTGCCTGCTCTGCCCTGCCCTGACCCGCCAGCCAGCCAGGGTGCGAGGCGAACTGCGAGGGGGGTTGTCCAAGTCCTGCAGCGCCAGTAAATTGCACCCCCCCCGGGAGATTCTTCCGCCCTGTGGGTGGAAAGGTCTGCCGTTCAACGATGCCCCTCCGGTTTCTTCCTCTTCCTTCTCCTTTTGCTCTTTTAAATTCTATTTATCAGTTTTGCTTCTTTTGTCAATTCTGAATCTTGGTGTCTTTCTCTGCGGAGCTTCTGATCCAGTGCAGTCTCCCTCCTGGTGCATTTTGGCTTCACTCTGTATTTTCCACATGCCATGAATGTCATCCACTTTGCCCAGTTCTCATGTCCATAGTGCATGTGCTTTGTACCTGTGAACCGTTGAAAGCTTCATACAAACTACATACAACTTTGTCAGATTGTATTATGTGAAAAAGTGAGTTGTTTCATTGTGGAAGTTGAGGTGGAGCAAGTCTTAAACCAGTAAGGTCAGGCTACATAATGCAATTGTTTCACAAGCATGTTCTACATGCTGGATGCATAGCTCCCATCCAATGGTAAATGAAATGTCTATTTTGAAACGGCAATCTTAAATATAACTTTTTAAAACCATAGTAAGATAACTTTTTAAAATTCTTCTTCAGGATAACTTGCCCTCACGTTTTCTATCGTGGTTTTACCTTTTTTGTGTAGTGCATTATTATCTCAAATTAAAAAATAATACAATATAAACAAGACTCGTATGATTGTTTCTGTTTAAGAGTGAATTTTACAACAATTTAAAGTGAAAATTTTGGAATAGAAAATAAAGAGTTTATTGCAATAGTAGATAAATCAAATAATTGTAATCCTATTTAGTAGAATTGTAATTTTTAAAAATACCCTATTTTATAATATTCCTACATATAACATCATCTATCAAAATTTATTTTAAGAGTTTAAAAATAATAATATTGACTATTGACTTATGTATATTAAAATAGACTCAATTCCTATTTTTACATCATGTTTTAAAAGACCAAGTTCAAACTAAAATAGAATAAATCTAAGATCATAGTTTATCTGATCACATGAAAAAAAAAAAAAAAAAAAAAAAAAAAAAACTGTACGAAGACTTCTAAAAAACAAGCACACTTAAAACAATAAACAGAGTTCAGAAAAAACTTTTGATCGAAACGTCCAAATATGTAGAACAATTTATTCAAAATAAAAAGTCTTTACTGTTTGTCGAATTCACTTTGAAAGTAGCCAACACAAGGGAATCACATACAAAAATGACAATTCAAGGGATTCCACCATACCCAACCACTGATCCTCCATATTTACTCAATCCATCGTTGGTGGATGGTACACAATGAGCATATTTGTTGTCCATTAACAACCATTTTGCTGTGAAGTACATATTTCCACTCACACAACCAATATAAGCAGTGAAGTGACTCAGAAATGACGATGAAGCCAAACCACACAACCATATTTCCAAGCCACACGGAACAAGTCCCAAATTTGGATACAAAAGTTCCAAACTTAGGCCGAGTTAGGCACGAGTGTGGACGCTAGTAGCGGGGGAAGTCACGGAAGCTCGCACGAGAGAGTGGAGAGAAAGAGATCTGCCAAGAGTGAGAGAGAGCGGGGCAGCTAAAAACCTACCGGACCGACTCTGCAACGCAGCGGACTCGCGCCGGACGGACGGACGGAAGGAAGGAAGGAAAGAAAGGCGGAGCCAACACTGCGGTATCCGAATTTTTAGACACTCCTCGCCCGACAGCAGCGGACGCATCATCACCACCCTCCTCTCGTCATTTCGCACACTTCTGGGTGTATTACAGGTTCTGGGTCTGCAGATGAAGCATCTACACATCCGCCTGCGTTGGGGGCAACGGTGCTTCAGCGACCCGGTTTCTTCTTGTGGCAGGGAGGCTCGTAGGTCGGTGTTTTGAGCGGCCTCGTTGTGGTGCACTGGTGCGCGTTAATCTCCGGTATTCGGCTTCCTTCAGCTGTCCTGTCAAAGCGACGAGAGTGTATTACAGGTAGTTAGATCTCTTCCGTTCGATTAGTGTCGGTTTTTTGGACTAAATTGCATTTATCCCAGGTTATGTGTGCCTTTATAATATGTGTAAGCTTCGCCGACGCTGGCAAGAATGTTTTCTCCATCAAGCTGGATTACATGTTTATTTTTATTATTATAGTTTTTTTTGTTTTCATATTATATATGTATGTTGTCGAAGATGGTTCTGGTGGGGGTTTGAGATCGTGTCTAGTTTTGAAGTGTGTTTGCGAAGTTGACCTTGGGTTAGGGAGGGTGTGATAGAGATGTTTTTGGCTTGGAAGATTTTTTTTCAGTAGACCCCTTTAATTCTCCCTGCTTCGCAAACCCTTTGTGACTTTTGAAGTTTAGTGTTTTCTCGTTGAAGTCTTATTTAGTGTTGTTCCCGACAATTAATATCTCGGGTAGTTTTCTTCGATAAGCGTTGCATATAACCTTTCAGTAGAGTCGTATTTCGCGGAGGTATTATTTTCTTCATTCTTATACTGTGGTAATGGACATGCAGCAGTAGAAGGTTCTAATCCGTCGATATAATAATAAGGAAAATTTGTATCAGAAACCCCCTGGACAGACGTTCAAGTGTGATGAATGATGTGCTCGTTATGTAGTGGAATCTGTCGTCTACTTCTTCGTTCGTGTCCAGCGTTCTAGTTCAGGATGGGCGCAACTTGGAAATCTTCCTGTTGGATTTAGCAAGTAATTGTAAAGATGTATAAATTGATTTGTGCTTTAGATAGCACTCTAAACTCCTCAACTTCTAGGTCTGCACTGAGAGTTGCTCATTAATATCGTGAACATATTTTCGTGATGAATTATTTGTGCTTCCTATCTGTGAGTGAGAGTTTCTCTGTTCGTCTGGGATCATTATGATAAAAATGGTCAGTTTCTGCAATGTTGATGGAGTTGCACAACGCGCTAAATTAGAATGGTTGCCGTGGCTCGTCAGTGTGTCGAGCGTGATTTAGGTGTTGTGACACGGAAATCTGTGACATGGGGAACACAAGCGCAAGGCCTAGGGATGGCCGCAAACATAAAGCAAGCCAGGGGAACGATAGCGTGCAACCAAAGAGCCACCAGGGAAGCAGCCATGGCGATAGCGGTCATCCTGGGGGTAGCCATCGGGGAGGTAGCTACGGTGGGAGTCAATCTCGTCATGTGCCGAAAATGAAATCATCTTCAACAGGGATCTTGGGTAAACCCCTAAGGGATATTAAACTACACTATACTTTGGGCCGGGAGCTTGGCCGAGGCCAGTTTGGGGTGACCTACTTGTGTACCGACAAAGAGACCGGAATTTCATACGCCTGTAAAACCATAGCCAAGCGGAAGCTAACCAACAAGGATGATATCGAGGATGTCAAGCGGGAGGTTCAGATTATGCATCACCTGTCGGGGACCCCTAACATCGTGGAATTGAAGGATGTGTTTGAGGACAAGCAGAATGTGAATCTCGTAATGGAGCTCTGTGCAGGTGGGGAGCTCTTTGATCGCATCATTGCGAAGGGGCATTACAGTGAGCGAGACGCTGCCGATATGTGCAGGGTCATTGTAACCGTAGTGCACAGATGCCACTCCTTGGGGGTATTCCACCGGGATCTTAAGCCAGAGAACTTCTTGTTAGCCAGCAAGGATAAGAATGCACCACTGAAGGCCACGGATTTTGGTCTGTCAATTTTCTTCAAGCCCGGGGATGAGTTCCACGACATTGTTGGAAGTGCGTACTATGTGGCTCCGGAGGTCTTGAAGAGGAGCTACGGGCCCGAAGCTGACGTTTGGAGCGCAGGTGTGATAGTGTACATTCTGTTGTGTGGGGTCCCACCGTTCTGGGCCGAGACAGAGAAAGAAATTTTCGATACGATCATGCGAGGGCACATTGACTTCAAGAGCGACCCATGGCCGAAGATCTCGGACGAGGCGAAGGATCTGGTGAAGAAAATGTTGAACTCTAATGTGAAGGAGCGTCTGACTGCACAGGAGGTGTTGAACCATCCATGGATGCAGAGGGACGGTGTTCCCGACGTACCACTAGACAATGCGGTGTTGACTAGACTGAGGAACTTTTCAGCTGCAAACAAGATGAAGAAGCTGGCTTTGAAGGTGATAGCAGACAACTTGTCGGAGGAAGAGATCGTAGGGTTGAGAGAATTGTTCAAATCCATAGATACCGATAACAGCGGTACCGTCACGATTGATGAGTTGAAGAAAGGATTGTTAAAGCAGGGCACTAGGCTCACTGAAGCGGACGTTAGGAAGTTGATGGAAGCTGCTGACGTCGACGGGAATGGAAAGATAGATTTCAACGAGTTCATATCGGCAACGATGCACATGAACAAGACCCAGAAAGAGGATCACCTTCACGCCGCATTCCAGCACTTTGATACGGACAACAGTGGATATATTACTATATATGAGCTGCAAGAAGCAATGGAGAAGCAAGGGATGGGAGACCCCGAGACACTTCAAGAGATCATCAACGAGGTGGACACAGACCACGACGGAAGAATAGACTACGACGAGTTCGTAGCCATGATGCGGAAAGGCAATCCTGGAACAGAAGACGGCGGAAACCTGAAGAGTCCCAGACACAGGTGGTAGATCTGTCCACATCTCCAGTTCGCCGTTGAGCCCAATCAGGGAACAGATGATATTAACTAGAAAAGTGCTAAAGCAGTTCTGGTAGACATGTGAGCGGGACGGATTTTCATACTCTTCAGCGTAAGGTGACACTGAAAACATATCAGGGGTTTGTAATGCTGTCCCTCGACGTATATGGCCTCCCCACCCCGCTCCACATACACGCCGAAGTTCGTTGCCTCTCCTCGCTACATTCTAGAGTAACTGCAGCCACATGATTCATTACACGTGAGTGGTCTTCTTCTTCATGACTTGGTATAGTTTTCAAAATTGTAAACCCCTTCACATGAGCATGGATACAAATTCATTGGACATCCAAGTACTTTTGATATCCAAATTAAACAGTTGGTTTTCTGATTCCATGGCTGGAGTGCTGACACTCAATGTTCTAGGTCGCAGAGTTTCAGTCACGCGAGGTGAGATTGGCCCGTGTTTGTTATAATCTCCCCATCAAGTTGCGAATTGATCTGCGGTTGACTGACGACAGTGGCGACATGTTTTAAAAAAGGAATGTACAGTGTTTGCGTATGGTAAGCTGGAGAGGGTTCTCAGCAATGGCAATGCCACAGGAAGTCGAAAGTAGGGGCTCCTTCCGGAAAACATCAACACCATCCCACAAGCCCCATTCGCAAATAAATAAACAATTCTGTCAAACAAATGTTGTTCTTCGTGATATTACTCATGATATGGAATGTTATGCTGAAACGAAAGCAGAACGGATTGTGCAACACAGACTTGTGGGAGTCATCCTCTCCAGTACGACATAAACTACATTCACAGACATCCAAATCATCCACTTCACACGAGCTTGTCCGAAATGCCTTGATCACAGTACGCTTCAGAACGAGACCTCACACAGGTGCCAAGCGAATCGCTATGCACATGACTATTCCACCAATGTACAAACCCCGAATTCATGGATCTCAGAGGCAGATGCACAAGCGCATGAAATGTTGACAGCGAGGGCGCGCTCTGCTACCGGAGTTCCCACCGCCAGGGACCAGTATAGATGAAACTAAAACACACTGAAAGAACAAGGGGACGTCTCAAAAACTTCATCAAACCCACTAATCTGCAGCCAGCAGAACGTGACACTTCAGCGCAGTGTTGCTGCTCCCCCTCATCCAGCTGGTTAGGGTGCGCTACGGATCGCAAAACCATGATCCGGTGTTCGTCAACCAGACGAACACGAGTATTTTCCGTCGAAATCTCAAAGTGCCAACAAAGTCGCAACCAGGTGCTGGATTCCAGCGCCGCTCATTCCGAGGACAATTTTCCTCGCGAGTCAGGTTACAGTTCAATCGCACTGAGCATCTCATGCACACGCACTCGTTCACGGATGGGTGTGCGGGTGCTTGTTCGCTTGATGGGTTACACCAGCAAGTGGAGGGGGAGGGGGAGCGGGAGATGTGCGTAGGTAGGGTATGCGGCATGTGAAGTCAGAGTCTGTTGCAGGAAGGGTGAGCAGCGGCACGACGATGCAGCACGGCGCAGCAGCGCGGAGTCCGGCAGGCATGGATGCAATGGACGAGGGTGGCATGGCAACGTGGGGGGGTGGCGTGGGATGTGCTGGGGAGGAGAGGCGTGCAGCGAATTGCTCCGAAATGAGAGCCGGGGCGACGAGTACGGCAGCGGCGGCTGAGCACCCGTCGTCAGGTGGGCACGGCAGTCGCAAGCAGGCCTGGCAAGGCGGGGCGAGGCGAAGCAAGGGAGGTGGATAAGAGCTTCGATCGGGCGAGGGGGAGCCTACAATTAATCGGGCGCAATTGCGATTGATTACAAGGTGAGGGGGGGATTGATTGTTAGGGGTGTGGAAACACGCAGTCGATCTGGAAGGGCGCGAGCGTGAAGAATGAGGTTAAGGAGCTTAGGTGGTTGTCCTGCAGCATGAGCGGCGGCAGTGTGGTGTCGCGCGCATCCGCTGTAGTCTAGACGGTTAGGATACTCGGCTCGAGGATAGCTGGCTTGGTCGTGAAGGGGGCTCCGTGAAACGCGGAGCCGCAACTCTAACCTAGATCCGAAATTCAGGGATGTTGATTTGTGCGTAATCTAGCAGTTTAAGTGGGGTCTTTCGAGTAGTGGTACTATCAGTGATACGAAGTGCATCTGCAGAAGCACACTTCAACCGAAATACAGGTCAAATTCGGTAGAATGGACATGAATGCGGGAACTGGTCGAGCTGGAGCACCGCAGAAGGGCAATCTTTTTGTCAATCAAGCAGTAGCAGAGCCAATAAGTAGCACAGATGAGAGGATACCACATGAGCAGATATCAGCACAGGGAGCCATCAGAAGTCGGCGGGCACTTAACACCTATTCAAATATCAGACAAGGATCCGAATCACAGGAATTCAGGGATGCGCTCAAGGAGAATCTACACACCCACAAGAATCCCAAGGACCAACAACCGGAGGAACATCTCTTGTCGCAAGACGCCGCCTGGACAACCGGAACGCCAGCATACTGGACAAGCACACGCATACAGGTAAATGCTGAAACTCCTCTTCAATGAACTACTACACAGGAGGATGTTAAATGTCGTACACCGGAACAGGACAACCAGTCTACAGGGATACAATATTACTCGCAAACAGGATATACCATATCCTCCCTTAGGAAGGAGGAGGGAGAACTTCTGGAACATTAAGGAGATTCAGACCTAGAAATCTTTCAGGCTATTAGGAACCAAGTACAGAACCGAAGGCTAACTGGACAACATCTCCTAAGTAAGTACCCTCACTTGAGATTATCCTTCCCCAACTCGGAATATGCAGAGATAGCTGCTTTGGTGACAAGAGTAGCCCCAGATTTATCAAGATATCTCCAAACATACTACCCGTGCCCTCATAGCGAAACAATACCCATATCACAGAACAAAGACAATCCCAAAGAGGTACTCACACCCATCCTGGAGGAGCCATGTACTAGACAGACCTCAACCACAGAGACAACAGAACAAGCCAATGTGGGATCCATCAGCACACAAGAAAAGGAACGACCCCCACCTGTGCGTATTACTATGACTGCAGATAGGTTACAGACATACCAGGAGAAAATGAAAAAGCTCACCAACTTCATGGCCAACTGCATGGCCTTGGGACACATATCGGGGCGCACACCTGGTGCCAGGAAATTATCCATGTGGGCCAAAGCAAACCTACACAGATCTTTCCATCAACTAACTATCCGATCCAATAACTACTTCGAAATCCAGTTCTCTCAGGAAGTAGGCCGGACGAGTACGCTAGCGTCACGAGGTAGTCCACTAGAGGGGGGGGAGGGGGGGGGGATAATGATTGGAATCTAGGCACAAGTCAGAGAACTACCTCCATTTCTTCGAACACGAGTTTCTGAGAGAAACTTTTGAGAATTTTAGCGAAGTGTTATTTGTAGATGACACAGACACAAACCTTACCCGGCTATCAGGACCCAGAGTGCGCATCCTCACGAGTAATGTAGAAGCTCTACCCCACTCCATCATTATACCAAGATTAGACAGAGAGAGAAATAGAATATTCCCTAGAATATAGCGAACTTTCCACTCAATGTAGTAGATGTCGATCGTTTGACCACTTGGTACAAGAATGTCAAGTAGCACGACGACCGGCAATCGAAAGACAGAACACAACACGCACACAATGGAGCAGTGGCAAGGCACAAAATAACTTTTGGAGAGCACTGACACCAAGCACTGACACCAAGCACTGACACCACGGATCTTGGGAACCACAGCTTCTGCAGTAATAATTACGGGATTCTAAATAGATAACAGAAGCCTCCTAGAGGTTCTCACCGAGACCAAGGGCACCCAAAAGAAACCGCAAAACATACTCACGCTGACACATGGATAAGGGGAAAAGAATGGACCCAACTATCGGCCCGTACTCATGTAGTCAATGAGACCATGCTTCATATGAGGGGACAAGTTGTGTTGAAACACAAACGTATCAACCCACTCAAGAGATGCTATATCTTAGACAACATCTTTATGGCCCAATCTTCAATAGATTTGACTATAGAAAGCAACCAAAATCTCATCCTCCAAAATCTCATCCTCTTGACTTTAAAAAGCCCTAAAATAGGATGAGCTAGAATTTCTTGTATGAGTTGGAATTTCTTGAGAGAAAATTCAAAATAGTTCCCACCGATTGGGTTAAACGAGTTATGACATTATACTCTGAAGCCTTTGTTAGAGTTATGCTAAACAGAGTACTTGAGGAGCAATTCTCTCTCTAATGTTGTGTGAGACAAGGATGCTTGTTGGCACCTTATTTATACCTTCTTACAAGAGATGTGCTAGGGCACATGCTTTCAGATCCCGATTGACCATTGATAGGATTCACTCTATTGGATGATAAAACTACAAACCAGATGTATGTTGATAATTTGGTGCTTTACATCCATAAAATAGAATATAATATAGATACGGCCATGAAAATATTGAACATCTAATGCAAAGAGAGTGGTCCTAAAATAAACTAGAAGATATTGTATGGAATCTGGTTAGCAAGACAATCTTGCATGTAGTAGTGGCTACTAGACTTGGGCCTTAATTGGCTACCACTTGGCTCTACTATTATGTATCTTGGATTTTCAATTGGGGCCCTAGCATTGGCAAAAGTCATCACTAACAAAGTGATTCAAAATTTGATTGTAGATCTTTTAGGTTGGAAATAAAAATAATCTATCTCTAGATAAAAGTTCATGATGACAAACCACACAATATTGGCCATAATCTAATTTTTGTGCTCTTGTTTAACAACCTTAAATACTACCTTCAAAATAGTTAAAATACTCACATGGAATTTCATCTAAGAGGCTAAGTTGAATAAGAAAACAATAGCAAAGCTAAGTTCGATACTCTTAATTCAAACAGTAGCCTTAGGGGGAGTTAAAATACTAGATCCAAAACTACAAATTCATATATTAATTACAAAACTAGTAGTTTAGAGTTTTCAACCAAGATTCAAATTATAGAAAGTCTATGCAAGACACAATCTAAGACGTACAAAATCCATCAGGGCCAAAAGATGGCTTAAATACCTACATTAGATCATCGCAGGTCAATAGAGATCCTCAGACAACCGCTATTTGAAAACACACTGATTTGACAAACATTTGGTACCTTCTTTGGCATCAAAGGTCATTCTAGATTTTTGACATCGATAAAGAGAGATATTCTTTAAATTAAAGACGTGGTCTTTGAGCCAATACGATAGTGATACACAAAAAATTTCATCAAGTTGGTAATAGGCTTATAGAAAACTCCATCAAGTTAGGTCTAGGCTCATACACAATAGCCATACAATAAGCAGTTCTTAAACATGTTATTCTTTAGGACCCTCCTTATGACATTCTTCT